CTATCTTTTCCTCTCTCTTCGGAAAAAGCTGATTAATTTTTGAGAACCTAGTCTCAAGGGTGGTCCATTACTATATGTAGAAATCAAACAATTGTGGCAGATGGCCTCCACAGATGTACACCTGACTAAAAACAAATATAAAAATGAAGGGTACAAGAGGTAGAAGCAGGGATACTGTCTAAGTGTGCAAGAAAAGAGTTTTGGGGGATATGAAGCCCAAAGGGATGTGAAAGGCAATGAAAAAGGCTTCTAAAAGTAGATCAGCAAGCTATATACATGCTATATACAAGTATGTATATAAAAGTATTAGTGTCCAACGCAAAGCAACAAAGACAGTGAATGGGCTAGAGGAGTAGACATATGCAGAGTGACTGAGGTCACTTGTTTTGTTCAGTCTAGAGAAGAGGAGGCTGAGTGGGTAGTGGCCCCTTCCTAAGGGGGAGTGGAGGAGGAGGCACTGATCTCATCTCTCTAGTGATCAGTGATAGGACCTGAGGGAAGAGCATGAACTTGCATTAGGGGAGGTTCAGGCTGGATATTAGGAAAAGGTTCTGCACCAAGAGGGTGGTCAGGCACTGGAACAGGCTCCTGAGGGCAGTGGTCATGGCACCAAGCCTACCAGAGTTCAAGAAACATTTGGGTAGTGCTCTCAGACATATGGTTTGATTTTGGGGTGGTCCTGTGTGGAGCCAGGAATTGGACTTGATGATCTTTGTGGGTCTCTTCCAGCTCGGGATATGCTATGATTCTATGATGAGGATCCATGGGGGATCCATAGGATGCCCCCAGGAGCACTGAGGGAGCTGGCCCATGTGATTGCTAGGCCACACTCAACTATCTTTTAGCAGTCATGGCTACTGGGAGAGGCTCTTGAGGACTGTGCAAAGGTAAAGGTCACCCCTGTCATCAAGATCAGTAAGAAGGACTACCTGCAGAACTATAGGCAAATGCAATGAATAGCTTTTGAAATCCTTTCCAAATCCAAGGACAAGAAGGTGACTGGAAGTGATAATCATAGATTTATGAAAGAGAACTGGCTTAATCTGAAAGCATTTTACGATGAAATGATGAGCTTGGTGGATAAAAGAAAAGTGCTGGAGGTTGTTTACCTCAACCTCAGTAAGGTTTTCATGACTATCTCTCATAGCATCCTCACTTACAAACTGATGAAGAACACATTAGATAAGTGCACACTGATAGACTGAAAAGCGTCTGAACTGCTAGCCTCAAAGGATTGTGTTCAGTAGCCCAGAGTCCAGGAAGAGGCAAGTCACTAGTAGTTTAGCCACAGGTGGATACAATAATAGGGTCAATATTGTTTAACCCATTCATGAATGGTCTGGGCAATGGCCCAGAGTGCACCCTAAGTGATTTGAAGATGATCCAAAACAAGGAGTGGTTAATACATCAGCCATTCAGAGGGGCCTCAGGAGGCTGGAGAAATAGGTCTATAGCAATCTCACAAAGTTCAACAACAGGAAATACAAAGGCCTGCACCTGGGTAGGAAAAAACTCTCAGCACCGGTACATGGTAGGAGCTGATGGGCTGGAAGCTGATCTGCAAAGAAGGATCTGGGGGATTAGGGGGACAAGCTGGCCGTAAGCCAGCAATGTGCCTTTGGAGTAAAGAAAACCAAGGTTTGCTTGGCTGCATTAAGGTGGGTGTTGCCAGCAGTGGAGTGTAACCTCTGTTCAGCCCTTGTGAGACACTTTTGGAATCCTGTGAACAGCTGTAGACTACCAAGTACACGAGAGAATGTACATACCAGTGTGAGTCCAGCACAGAGCTAGAAAGGTGATGAAGGGAGCTGTACATCTGACCATTAAGGAGTTGGTGAGAGAGCTGGGATTGTTCAGCTTGAAGAGAAGGCCCAGGGAGATTTTACAGATGTATCTAAACGTCTGATGGGAGGACATGAAGAAAATGGAGGTGAACTCTTCTCAGCTGTGTCCAGTGATGAGGAAAGAGGCAACAGCCACAAACTGAAATAACGGAAATTCTGTTTCACATTTTTTACTATGAGGATAGTTGAACACTGGAGTAGATTGCCTATAGAGTCTCCATACTTGGTGATATTCAAAACCTGTCTCTACATGTCCCTGCACAACCAGCTCTCACTGATCCTAGTTTGAGCAAAGGCATTGAACTAAACTATCCCCAGAGGTGCCTGCCATCATCAAACATTTTGTGATTCTGTGAAAACCGATAAAATGGTAAAAAGAATAATAATAATAAAAATCAATAGCTTTAGCTTACTTCACATTACCTTGAGACAAATTAGTGTAATCTGTTTTGTAAGTGCATATTGTTTTACAGCAGTAGAAGAAGGCTTATTTTGTCTCTGTACTTTGCCAAGACAGTGTTTTTAGTGCAATAATATTAGCTGTGACTTTTGAAGTCACAGACATTCAGCAAAACTGGCATTTAAAAGAAGAATCTGTACAAGAAGAACATGCCACTATATCTAAACCCTCCTGAACCCTATTTAAGTAGACAGCTTTAATATTTAACACCAATTTCATTCTACCATCACTGCAGTTCAGTTTTAAAGTTAACTGAGGTAATAGCACTGTAGAGACAGTAAAGCTGAAGTCTGGAAGATACTTTCAAAAACACAGTCCTACAGAACAAATACCTAAAAGTATGTTAGGTAATGGAAGCTAGCAAAGTCAAACAAGTAAGGCATGCGCAACAAGCCTACACCTTCTGTTACATTTCCACCATCATGAAAGTAAAATTCATAAATGAATGAGTTACTTTTTGCGCTCACTTTGATCAGGTATTTGTGGCTGAAGCAGACATGGTACAGAACCCAATTTCCACATATCGAGAGGCTCTATGACATTACTGGTGACAGCAGTTTGCCCTGTCTGTGCTCCTCTGTGTCTTAGACAGTGTGATGGCTTGAAATCCTGCTCAGGTGTAGGAATCACACTGCTAATTTCAGTTTTAGCCAGTCTTGTTTTGCAATGTATAACTACACCAATGTCCCAACAAAGAAAATGAGTGCTGTTATTTAAAATAATATTTTCTAGTACTAATAGAGAAGAAACAGTGTAAGAGGTTGTTGCTGTATTACATCATATAACTCTATGAAAGTAGACCCAAGGGCTTACCATTTAAACCAAGAGGACAGGGAAATGATGCAGAAGGAGACAGTGGAGAGAGGAGAACGCAGATGCAATGAATATATCTGTTCTGATAACTCATTTAAATGTTGGTGATGAATTTTCAGTCCTTTCAGAGGGCTTGTGACATATGTGATTATGGAATTAACATCAAAACAAAGAAGAAAGTGAAAAGGTGCTAGAATAGTGAGTGAGAAATTGCAAAATAGAAAGCAGTGTAATGCTGATATCTGAATCTCTCCTCATAGGTTTGGTTGACTTTCTGAAGCCACAGTGTAGGGCCAAACAAAGTTCAGCGTTATGCTGATACATATTTAGTGGTGGTTATAGAATGTGTGTCCTCAGAGATCAATTTCTAACATCAGATGCAAAGGCTACAGGCTGAAGTATCAAGTGTTTCAGCAGCATTGTTTGCATTTGCAGTTCTTGTTGTTGGTTTGGAAGACTGATAGCAGCTAATTGTTTCGTGGCAGAATAGCCCCTGAAAACAACCCATGGCTGTTCCTTCCCCATGAACTGTTTGACTTTTGTCCTCTCTGACAAATCAGCAAACCATGTTAAAAAAATCCACTACTAGTATAATCAACTGCTAGGAACTGGTCTGAAATAATTGAAATCACAAACCAAATGTTGTCAGATGTTAATCTGCAGAAAAGAGCACCATGACAACTTGTTGGAATGAATTAGCCAGCAATACGGGGGACAAGAACTACTTTTCGTTTCTGACTGGAACTCCTGCGTGGAAAGTGGTACTACTGTCTGACTAACATCCCTAACTATTACTGCTTGTTGGTTCACTTCCTGTTGATGGAATGCAATTGGCCAGTTTTGCAATGGCCCGTTTGGTTTGCATCACAGGAGCTGTCCATTGCTCTGAACATGAGCAGCAGCTGAAGCGGGTCGGGAACAAAGTTTATTATCGCAACAGCTCTGACACAACCTGGTTCCATCAAGCTACTGCAAGAACAATAGTTCTGAACTCTGATAATGTTGATGGGTCTATTGGAAGCCACAAGGAAACATATGTACAAAAAAGCGGGGATATCTTTGCCAGTGAATCTAGTGTGGACTGCAGGAAACAGGGACTTCTCAAATGTTCTTTCAGGCCTCGAAGGGTGCAAGACTGTGAACAAACATACCTGTCGGATAACAGGAAAATAGAATAAACCCTGAAGAGTTCATTGAATTGTTCTCTAATTGTATTCATATGGCTGTCTAATCTCTCTAGCCTACAATTCACAGAGAACAAGAAAACATAAACGTCCATGGAGAGCACCAACAATCATGAAATCAAGTTCTAAAAACAGAATATTTTTGGTTTCAAAAATCACTGCATTTTTCTATGCTATTTCCTGCATTTGTAGAAATTCATCTCTTCATTTTTTTCCTCTATGGTCTTGGATGTATAGAGCCTCCTTTTATATAGAAAGGAAAACAGAAATTCTAAAATAATGATCCAGTTCCAGGAACTGGAGCTTTGATACAAATTACGTCAAAACTTAAGGTTCAATAAAGAAAGGTTTAACAAAATTATGAAGAGATTGCATTTTTTTCTTCCATTTTCAGGCCTCATAAACTAAGAATGGAAGTTACAAAACAGAACAAAATGTATCACCCATGAATCAGTTAACTCTCTTCCACTCAGTTAAGAGTGGTGAGATATATGGCCTGTGATCAACTTGCCATGGTCAACAAAAAGGACATAATATATATGCCATCTCTTCCATACAGAGGAAAAAAACAAATCAATAATTTGTAAACATACAACTAAAACCAACTCATTTTTAACCTTCTTTCAATATAACTACAAACAATAGCACACAACATATTCAGATCAAGTAATTTTATTACTGAAAGTATAAATGACTTACCTTAAGACTTAATGGGTTAAAGTCCAGGAGATGATCACTGCACCTTTGAAAATAAAATTCACCTATTAAAACTTCTACTAATAAGTTATCTAAGAACAGAAAGTCCTATTAGCTGCAAACTTTTGGTTAGATACATAGATTGCAAGGTTCTTCAGTACCAAGCAGCATGCTCCTTTCTGACTTAGAGCTACCTTGAAGAGATGAGCATAATTTATTCAGTTCCTCGGTTCCTCTTTTGAAGTATCCAAGGAGGTTCACAGTAATGTACACTCCTGCCCACCTCAGCCTCCCAACCTTCATCTCATTTTGTATTACAAAGCCTAGCAAGAAATATTTCTAAAGCAACTATTTTATGAAGCAAGAATCAAGAATATTTTGTACTCCTTCTGCAGCACTGGTTGCTGCGGCAGCAGTAACAGTTAACAAACACTGTTCAAAAATAAATACCAATCTCGCAGATGACAGAAAATAACATACCTAGCACCAACCTCTTACTCAGCTTTTTTGGAATCAAGGGGAACATAACGACTGAATTTCTCCTGGTTTGCCAATGCTCATGTCAGCACATTGGACAAAGTACTGTAGCCAGAGCACTGGGAGCAGCTTATTTTGCAAAAGAACACCTTGATGAGTCTTCTCACATTCTAACTTCTGCCATTTGAATGGCACCACGATTCTCTCATACTCTATCATGTAAGAATCTCTGGAGATTATTTGCTCTTTTATATATAGTGATTTCAGAAAAGTGATAGCTATTTATAATATCTAAGGATCCTACCGCTTGAGTTCAAGACACCTAACCCCTCTTGCTAAACAGACAATTCTGCTGTATTTTTTGAGACATCACAAAGAAGCTTTACTTCCCTGATAGCCTGTCCTTGCCATCCCTGGATTGCATGCACACGCATTTTATACACACATGTACCCCAACTCCTCTTCCCCCCCCCCCCCCCCCCGCCCCCAGTCCTCCCCCCTATATATGAGCATTGGCATATATATTTTTTTTTCAAATAATTACTGAAAATATTTGTTTACTTTCCACACCCTTGAAAATTTCTTAAATCATGAAGCTTTGTACTTGCTGTGTCCAGTTTTGTGAAAGTATGAAATTACTTTTCATCCCTGAAATATAAGAGATTTGTAGTCCAATTACTATACTGCTATTCTACTACAGAGCTTGCCTTACTATAATACAAATAGTTCAACTATTCAACTCATCTTAATTTCACAGGTTTAACTATAGCAATCTATATTTTTATATATTTTTTAATCTATATAATTAATCTATAGCAAAATGCACAGCTTATGGGAATCATCCAAGATATTGCATCTAGGTTCACCTCATTAAAAGACCTTTGTAGGAACTGTCACAGCAATATAAGAATCAAAGTAATCTCATCTTAACAGTTGTTGCTTTATTGGCCACCACAAATAAAAGTGTACTTCCCCATCTTCATCAACCTGACTTCCAATTCCCTTGCAGGGGGCCAAAAGACAATCCGAAATGCATGCATACTGAATCTGGTCAGATAAAAGACATTTGCAAATTTGTACCATGAGTAATTCAAGATTAATCTTCCCTAAAATTCTAGCTCCTACCTTACACCATTCCCAAGCCTCCTGAAATTTTCAGTTTATTAGATTAGGAACTTACAGAGATGATCTTGAATAGAACGAATTTCCTAAGTAGCTAACACAAAAATAAATCATATTGTTTGTGTCTCAGAAAAAGGTTTACTATAGATGAATTCTGATTTTCAGTATAGCAAAATGGCATTCTTCTCCTTAAGTGTATACTTCTGTGTACACATACACATACTGATATTTATTTAAGTTTAAAGACACTGCAACTTCTGACAATTTCAACTGCATCGACATGCAGCTAAAGAGAAAATTCGGACAACTACTTTTGCAAAAAACAAAACAAAACAAAACAAAAACAAAAACTTTCCAAATTTCATAATGCTTTATGAAGTTTTTTGCTTTAGCAAAAGAAGCAAACAAAACCAAAACAAAAACAAAAAAAATGCTGATTTGAATTAACCAGATTAAAATTTTATCAGAATCAAATGCAATAATGTGAGGGAAGTGCATCTTCCTTCTGAGTGGAACAAAGAGAATAAAAGGAGTGATTTTGGAAAATATACTGGGAGTTGTTGCTCAACGGTAAGAAAAAAAAAAAAAAAAAGAAGAAAAGTACCGTCCTTAAGGCAAGGACAACAATGAAAGGTAGAAAGCACTCACAGAATACAAGTTTTTAGCTGTAGAATAGAATACATGTCTTAAAATATATTGTCATAGAATCTCTTAAAATATATGTCATAGAATACATATACATGTCTTAAACTATCATCTCATAAACTGAGCAGATTAGTATGCTTAGTCATGCTTCTTCCAGTACTGTGCACATTACAGACTTATTTTGTCTGTTTGTATCGTAGTACTGTTTGTACTCCCAAACAGGTCTATATCAACTCTTTTGCATTTTTTTTTTCCAAAATAACTACTCTTAGTTCAATATGGTATCTACAAAATGTATTTCAAACCTTCAGAACTAATGTTGTAATGGTAGTTTAGATTCCTCAGCTGAGCTAGCACCTAGAGCTAAAAAAATGCCAATTTTATTTGCATCCAATTAAAGTTCAATGTTTACCACTGACCTCAGAAGTCCTGGTTGTTTAGCTCCTATTGTTTTATTTTTGACAATAATCAATTTCTCGTTTATACAATCACATTGCAGTCAGTGTTATCAAATATAATAATCACTGATGTGAAATTATCTGGCATCCTTCAGTGATGGCTATACTAGATCTAGACTATACTAGATTCCACTAAGGCACGTGGCTCACTAAAATTAACATATCATCTGAAATATTTATGATTCCAAAAAAAAATAGACCTTACATGCACTTGGAACAGAACAATCTCACAACAGACTAACATGCTTCATGACCTAGACAATTTATTTTGTCTTAATAATTAATTAATTATCTTTCTGGCACAATTTATTCAAACACAAAAATATAAATCCTGATTTGTAAAACCAACATATATATATATATATATATATATAATATATATATATAAGTATATGTATATATATATATATAAACATACATATATAAACACCTATACATATCAGGTGGGAGGATTAATTTACTCTGAGGAACTCTGTTCTTACTGTATCACTAGATTTTCCTCTGCCTGTTAATAATGAGCAAATACTTCTTTGAAGCAGAATAATGTCAATGATGGAGTTGAGACAGCTTATTCTTAGTGGCAGAATGATGAGCACAAAATCAGTTTTGCTGAATCATAAAGCATCCAAATATGACTATTTAGTTGTTTTAGTTGTTTAAAGGTTTTACAGACCTCATCTGTCTGAACAAAAGACATCAGAGGAAGACCTGGCTCAGGTTTATGGTTTTTGAGTTTCTATCCAAATGATTCAGTGGCTTCAAAAAACTGAGATATGGAGAAAAATAAATCCTCTGCCTCACCTCCCCCCCAAAAAAACAAACCAAAACAAAACAAAACCACACACCCAAAATAAATAAACAACAACAACAACAAAAAAGTCCAAACAAAACAAAAACAATAGAACAATAATAAAAACAAACAAACAAACAAACAAAAAAAAAAACAATAAAACACAAATTACAGTTATCCCCATCTAGTGTTCCCATCCTTTACAGAAGACTCTTCATATTTTGTTATTTCCCCCCCCCCCCCCCCCCCCAAATTTACCATTTTCCTGACCGTCTGGAAACCTAGAAAATGTGGTTAATTTCAAGAGTATTTACTATTGTAATATTCATACGCCCAGTAGAAACTTGCAAGTGAGCAGTTAAAAACAAGGACTCTGTCTGCAGCATTGACTGGATGGTGAACGTGACATTTCATAGAATCATAGGGTGCTTGGGGTTGGAAAGGACCTGTAATGATCACCTATCATAGAATCACAGAATGGTTTGGGTTGGAAGGTACCTTAAAGATCATCTAGTTCCAACACCCCTGCTATGGACAGGGATACCTCCCACTAGATCAGGTTGCCCGGGGCTTCTCTCATCCAGAGTGAAGAATACCTCTAATCTAAACCTCTTTTAGTTTAAAACCACTCCCACCTCGTTCTTTCATTATCTACCTGAGTAAATAGTTGTTCTCCATCTTTATTATGGAGATGTTTCAAGATGTTTGTATAAAGATGTAACTTTATTATCAGCCCTCTTTAATTTCCAGCCCTCTGGAAATGGACTGATACTACTCCAAGTTACAACATAAAACCATTTTTTCTTTGATGATACAGCTCTTAGCATTTTGGTGCAAACTACCAAGCAGGTCTCCACTGGGATTTTCTGGGAATATTTATTAAACACTTTGGATTGAAATGCCTGGTACAAAAACAAAGTACTATGTACAAAGTCCTATTTTATATACTAGCAGGATAATATGAATTTCATTTAACATAATCTATAAATCTTGTTTTCTACTTTGAAAACAATGGAGAATCACCCAGTCAGAAAGAGACGGCTCAGTGGTTTATAAAAATAAATTTCCTTAACTGTAAACAATTAGCAATGTAATAATGAAGGCACAGTTCTCACAATAACTAAGGGATAATTACTGAGCTTGTTTTGTAACTGATGAAGAAAGATTCTGAAAGGAAATTTAATCACTGATTTCTTATCATATATTTAGATGCCAAATGAGATCACATAATTACAGCTGAATGAATTTCTGTCCTCAGATTTTATATAATCATGTCTAGCATGCTGATTACAAAAGCAAGAAAAAACAGAATCTTGGGTGCTTATTTTGTGGACTAACAATGGAGATTTACTTTTGGCATGCAAGAGAAGGTACAGCTCCAGGAAGAAGAAAAATATTTAATCCCAAACAATTATTCAGCATCCACAGGAAAATTTTGCAGGAAGCTAAAATATGCATTGCCAAAATCATGTTTGTCAGGAATCAACTTCATCACAACCACAGAAGGTATGCATTCATAGCAGGATGTGCTAAAGGAAGGAACATAACCAGCAG